AAACCAAGCACACCATTGTTTTTCTTGGGACATTACCAATAAGTTTGATGTGTCACATGGCCCTCTTCTTATTGAAAAAACAAAAGTTGTATCCAAGATGGCCGACTTCTAAATGGTCACCATGGTCACCACCCATCTTGAGGAGTTTGCCCCCTCACAGATACTAATGTGCCACAAACAGGACTTTAATATCACCAACCATTCCCATTTTATTACCGTGTAACCATATAAATGGCCCACCCTGTATGTTCAAGCAACAGCTCGAACAACCCACCAGGGCGGCTGCTGCGTCAAGCTCCCTCATAAGTGTTGACTGCAGAAGGACACAAGACAGCTGGGAATGAAACTCAGCACCGCCTGCGATGTGCCGAGGAGTGGTGCGCTGGGTGCAGACAGCCAAGACAGCCCACAAGGTCACGGTGAACCTCAAAGTGTGAAGTTGTTAATGTCGAAAGGTTTTGTGCTTCTTGAGGAGGGCTTCAGGTGGTCCATTCAATAAACATGTTTATTAATGATTTAAGGATCTTCTCTTGCTAATGTGACAGTTATTTACAGCACTGGCTGCGGTGTCATTAGTAATGCCTATATGGGGGAGGTAGTAAGTGTCCTTTGTGTGCTAAATGCATTTCCTTACAGCATGGCCACTTAGACCGTTGAAAGCAAGCAGCTGTCACTCCCGACCTTTTACTATAGATGGAGGAGGGTCATCTGAGGCCCACTGGGAGGCAAAGGACTACCAGAAGGAATCCAAGTCAAAAATTCACAGGGTTTATCTTTGTCCTCAGGACAATAGAAGACAATACCACAGTCACAAGACACTCAGACAGTGCTTACAGTAGCAGTGACGAGGCACATAAGAAACTAATAACAGAATTTAGACTTTAATAACAAAAAAACATGAGTCAATGATTCTCATTTAAGACAATAAAATGTGTGGAAATGGCTTTAATACAATGAAATTAACATAAATGATTCATATAAGAGTCAGAGCTATTTTTAGTTTTTTTTTAAGTGATTTTCTTGCTTTTCTCACAATTGAAGGACAGAACTAAAAAAGATGCTGATAGAGGACAAGCTAATTAAGCTTCGGCTACAATAGCCAATGGCTATATTTGTCCACACCTTTATCTCCAAATACAGGTGTTTCTTTTTTGATCCATTGTGTTCTGGCATCATGCCTTTTGGGGCGGCTGTGTGCTGAGGCACTGCCTCCTGGATGTATAAAAAGAGGAGGTCAGAGAGACGGGAGAATGGACAGAATCACACCATCTACAGGTAAGCATACACACATTTTATAATAACATAACTATAGGGACATGTACTGAAAATGCATTTACTTTTGTCGTCTTGTCTTTCTAGAGACCCAGTAAACTTTCATCAAGGGAAAGGAAGAGAAAACAGGTAAACAGCTCCATGCTTTTCCTTTTTCAAAACAAACTTATACTAGACTCAGAATGACATTTATGTCTGTACTACTGCAGCCTGTGGTCCTAGTTCTTAGTTAACAACATTTTTATGATATAATTACTAATTATTACCTTTAAACTATTTTCAGAAATACATTACAATTAAATCAGCTTACAAATGATCCCAATACCATCCAAGAAAGATGTAACCAACACGCTTTTAAACCCACACTCTTGCCTCGCAGCTTTCAAGATGTCAAGTGACGCCATCATGGCGGAGTTTGGGTCGGCAGCTTCCTTCCTGAGAAAGTCGGAGAAGGAGCGTTTGGAAGCTCAGACCAGACCTTTCGACATGAAAAAGTTTTGTTTTGTACCCGACCCCGAGGTGGAGTACGTCAAAGCCTCAGTCATCAGCAGGGACGGTGACAAAGTTACCGTCGAAACTGAGTTTGGAAAGGTTAGTGTGTCATATTTACACCAGCTGAATAAAAACTGAAACATTAGTTGAGATTATGAACTTACACCACTGACGGGTTTTACAGTTTGATTTAAGGTCACTGCTTTTTGTTAAACCCTTTTAGACCGTCACCCATAAGGAGGCAGATATCCATCCTCAGAACCCGCCAAAGTTCGATAAAATTGAGGACATGGCAATGTTCACCTTCCTCCATGAACCTGCTGTGCTGTTTAACCTCAAAGAGCGTTACGCAGCCTGGATGATCTACGTGAGTAGTAACCACAAGCCCGGAGATATCTGCATAGCATGAAATCTGTAGCTTAATCTAAAAGAAACCAAATAAAACTTGCGTAAATCTTCTTCCACAGACCTACTCAGGACTGTTCTGTGTAACTGTCAACCCCTACAAGTGGCTGCCAGTATACGATAAGTCGGTGGTCGCTGCCTACAGAGGAAAGAAGAGGAGTGAAGCTCCTCCTCACATCTACTCCATCTCTGACAATGCCTACCAGTATATGCTTGCTGGTATGTTCACCTTGTATACAGGACTTTGTAACGGTCTCTCTGAGACATTTAAAAAGATAACTTCTAACATTTATTCTCATAAATCTTGCAGACAGAGAAAACCAGTCAATCCTTATCACGTAAGTCAGTCCCGATAACCAGATCTTTTTTTATTATTAAGACTGTGTTTAAGCTGTTACAGAGATGTCTCACAAGCTCACATACATAACTGGTTTTTATCCCCAGTGGAGAATCTGGTGCAGGAAAGACTGTGAACACCAAGAGAGTCATCCAGTACTTTGCCAGCATTGCAGCGGTTTCTGGCAAGAAGGATGAAAAACAGGAGAAAAAGGTCGGTGTGATGTGATATTTTGAAAGCGTTATAAATACAGTTTAGATGACTAAAACTTTCTATGCTTTACATCTGCAGGGCACCCTGGAGGATCAGATCATCCAGGCCAATCCTGCTCTGGAGGCGTTTGGAAATGCCAAGACCATCAGGAATGACAACTCCTCCAGATTTGTGAGTTCACTTGTTTTGAGGGAACTGTAGAGCAGTTCCTTCAAAACATTAACAGTTCATGCCAGCTCCACTTTCATTCTTTATGCTAACAAATATCAACACATTTAAGTACAGAGTACAAAACACCAACAGTGAGTTAAGTGAACATTTCAGGCAGGCTTTTCAAAATCCTGGATATCCTCTTCATTCTTCACTGTCCTCACTGGGTTCAATCCTATATATCCTGACAGGGTAAATTTATTCGAATCCACTTCGGAGTCAGTGGAAAATTGGCTTCTGCTGACATTGAGACATGTGAGTATGCTGTGACATCATCATAAGCCAAATAATTTTTTCAAGATTTGCATGGTGCTGTGTTTAGAGCACACTATGTGTTCTACTTAATTACATTAACTTTGTTTTCTAGTTTCCTATTTTGATGAGATTTCCTGTAGGTTTCAATAAAGTGGCATACAATTACTGTTCTACTTTTAAATTTTTTTTCTTTTTTAGATTTGCTGGAGAAGTCTCGTGTCACCTATCAGCTCAAGGCTGAGCGGGACTATCACATCTTCTACCAGATTCTGTCCCAGCAGAAACCAGAGCTGCTGGGTGAGTGCTGAATAATAGGCTGGGTAGTAGGGTGACCCAAAATCCAAGTGGTCAGGATCAGATCCAATAGCATGGGTGTATTTTCCCACTGCAAACTACCCGTGTATTCTGTGTGTAATTCCTGTCTTTTTGATCCACTGTCCATACCAGAATAAAGCAGAACGTAGTCACATAGATTGCAATCTTTCTTTTCTCTGGCAGAAATGCTGTTGATCACCAACAACCCCTATGACTACGCCTACATCTCCCAAGGAGAAACAACCGTAGCTTCTATCAATGATTCTGAAGAGCTGATGGCTACTGATGTGAGTTAAACAGAGCATAGTGGAAAATGCAAATCCTCAAATCTATATAGATATTCAGCAATAACAAACGAAAATGCAATTTTCTTGTTTTAGGAAGCTTTTGATGTCCTGGGCTTCACCCAAGAGGAGAAGAATGGCATTTACAAGCTGACCGGTGCCATCATGCATTATGGAAACATGAAATTCAAACAGAAGCAGCGAGAAGAACAAGCGGAGCCTGATGGCACTGAGGGTCAGAACAGAAATAAAACCTCAGCAGAGTAACTATATAACAGTATAACTACAGAAAATAATGCTTTAATACAACATCCATTTACAGATGTCGACAAAGCGGCATATCTTATGGGTCTAAACTCTGCTGACCTCATCAAGGGGCTGTGCCACCCAAGAGTTAAAGTAGGCAACGAGTGGGTCACCAAAGGTCAAAGTGTGCAGCAGGTGAGATGAAATAAAAGGAACCTCACAGAGTTCTGTGAGTACTTAAAGAATACAACAAATTTAACCTCCTAGGACCTGGCGTCCACATATGTGGACATCACATTTTGGGTTATTTAGACCAAAATACTAAATTTTGCTCTACAAGGGCCTGATATCCACTTACGAGGACATTACACTGCTACTGTTCTATCGAACTTTTAAACGAATATCCTCATTTGTGGCTCTCATTTTTCTTAGAAACAAAAATTAGGTAAAAAAAAAAATCTGGTAATTGTTTGTTTTTACATTCATCAGGTCCCAATCAGCCCAAATATCAAAGAATAATTAAAAATGCATGCCGTGGAAAAGTTCGGGTCTTAGGAAGTTAAACTTTGATTTAATTGCTTTCATGTTTTCTTTTTTTAAGGTGTACTACTCTATCGGTGCTCTGGCCAAGTCAGTGTACGAGAAAATGTTCTTGTGGATGGTGGTGAGAATCAACCAATCTCTGGATACCAAACAACCTCGTCAGTACTTCATTGGTGTGCTTGATATTGCTGGATTTGAGATCTTTGATGTGAGTGTTAAAGGGTTTAAGGACATCTTACACAATATTTATGGAAAAATGTCCTTCCTGTATAATGTATATGAAATCTGACTCTCACTTTTTTAGTTCAACACCTTCGAGCAGCTTTGCATCAACTACACCAATGAGAAGCTGCAGCAGTTCTTCAACCATCACATGTTTGTACTGGAGCAAGAAGAGTACAAGAAAGAGGGCATCGTTTGGGAGTTCATTGACTTTGGCATGGACTTGGCAGCCTGCATTGAACTCATTGAAAAGGTTGGTGTGTTCAAACTTGGTCATTTTGACAGCTTTTGTGTATAATAGTCTAACATCTTATCCATCCTTTATTAAAGCCCATGGGCATCATGTCCATCCTTGAAGAGGAGTGCATGTTCCCCAAAGCTTCAGATTCGACATTCAAAGCCAAGTTGTATGACAACCATCTGGGTAAAAGTCCCAACTTCCAGAAGCCCAGAGTTGTTAAAGGAAAAGCAGAGGCTCATTTCTCTCTCATCCACTATGCTGGTACTGTTGACTACAACATCACTAACTGGCTGGAGAAGAACAAGGACCCGCTCAATGAGACCGTGGTTGGACTCTATCAGAAGTCCACTCTGAAGTTACTCTCAATGCTGTTCATGGGGTATGCGGGTTCAGAGTCCAGTAAGCACTTTTGGGTTTTTTGCTCTGTAAATTTTCCATCATTTAATAAAATCACAGTGATATTTATATAACTTGTAACTCCATGCAGCCCAAGATGGAGGAGGCAAAGGAAAGGGAGGAAAGAAGAAAGGTTCTTCCTTCCAGACTGTGTCTGCGCTGCACAGGGTAAAAAATGCCTAAAGTTGGGAAGGTTTTGTAGGTTTAGCCTACAGTGCGGACGTACTGATGATTTCCTTCTTACTTTTACAGGAGAATCTGAATAAACTCATGACCAACCTCAGGTCAACTCACCCTCATTTTGTGCGCTGCATCATCCCCAATGAGACCAAGACACCTGGGGCGATGGAGAATCCTCTGGTCATGCACCAGCTACGCTGTAACGGTGTGCTGGAGGGGATCAGGATCTGCAGGAAGGGATTTCCCAACAGGATTCAGTATGGAGACTTCAAACAAAGGCAAGAAAAACATTATCTGTTGTTCTTTCATACAATAGCAGTGATAGAAGGTTTTCATATATTTCTAGTCTTTAAATGTTTTTTCCCCGGCAGCTTAAGGTTGACACGTTTTCCCTATTGGTTGCTTTTAGCAATTGTTTGCAACATTGTAGTTTCCCTTCTCAAGGGGCTTTTAGACAAAAACACTAACTTTCAGAAATCCTGTTCTCTGGCACAGCTGGCAAATGCTGGGAAAAACATTATAACCCCACACTTTGGGTTGTTTGCCTTCCTATTGTTATTCTTCTTTATTTTTTCCCACTTCCTTCAGTTATTGTAATAATGCTATGGCTGTATCGTTTCAGATATCGCATCTTGAACCCCAGTGCTATTCCTGAAGGGCAGTTCATTGACAACAAAAAAGCCTCAGAAAAACTTCTGGGGTCATTGGATATTGATCACGAGCAGTACAGGCTGGGGCACACGAAGGTTTGTTTCGCCAGCTATATTAACAAAGAAAAGGTTGAACTTTTTTCCTGTGCAGTAAAAACCACTCTGTCACTATCAGGTGTTCTTCAAAGCTGGTCTGCTTGGTGTTCTTGAAGAGATGAGAGATGATCGTCTCGCTCTCATCATTACTGGAATTCAAGCAAGATCCAGAGGACTGCTCGCCAGGATTGAGTTCCAGAAAATTGTTGAGCGCAGGTTGGTGCCAAAGTCTTCATATTTAACATGAAGATAACATTACATTAAGATAAAAATGAACCTGAACTGTCTGATACATCCCACAGGGATGCCTTACTCGTGATCCAGTGGAACATTCGTGCCTTCATGGGCGTCAAAAATTGGCCCTGGATGAAGATGTTCTTTAAGATTAAACCTCTGCTGAAATCAGCTGAGACTGAGAAGGAGATGGCAAACATGAAAGAGGAGTTTACAAAGCTCAAAGAGGCATATGCCAAATCTGAAGCCCGCAAGAAGGAGCTGGAGGAAAAAATGGTCACCCTTCTCCAAGAGAAGAATGACTTACAGCTCCAAGTCCAATCTGTAAGATACATTAGTCACCTAAAACGTACGTGGAAGTGATACATAACTGTAATAAATAACAATCCTGTTTAATTTCTTGCATTTAGGAGCAAGACAATCTTTCAGATGCTGAGGAGCGCTGTGAGGGTCTCATTAAGAGCAAGATTCAGCTTGAGGCTAAAGTCAAAGAGCTGACAGAGAGACTCGAGGATGAAGAGGAGATGAATGCAGAGCTAACTGCTAAGAAAAGGAAGCTGGAGGATGAGTGTTCAGAGCTTAAGAAGGACATTGATGATTTAGAGCTGACTCTGGCTAAAGTGGAAAAGGAAAAGCATGCCACTGAGAACAAGGTATGAAACACATCCAATCATGTTCACAATGCCAAAATATAAAACGACTTATAATGATGAGTATTTTACCACCCTTTAGCTCAGTGTTATAGAGTCTCAGACTAACTAAGACTCAGATTCGATAGCGAGTGATCACTGGACTTTGATCCGGTTGCCATAAACATATATTTGAATGAATGCTTATACTGATTGTCTTCAGCTATGAGGTGGAATTGTCACGTCAATGTCCACAGATTATTGTTATCATGGATGGACTACAAATCATTTATTGGCGTTTAAAAGAGTTTTTATGTGGTGAAAAACGTCTCCATGTACCAGAGTAAATACTCTTTCTGTGATCTTATTCTAAGGTGAAAAATCTGACTGAAGAAATGGCAGCTTTGGATGAAATCATTGCTAAGCTGACCAAAGAGAAGAAAGCTCTTCAGGAGGCCCACCAGCAAACACTAGATGACTTGCAGAGTGAGGAAGACAAAGTCAACTCTCTGACCAAGGCCAAAGTCAAGCTGGAGCAGCAAGTCGATGACGTAAGCCTATTAAACGCAGATATTTCACTGAGATAAGCTGTCAAATTCTTGCAATGAGATTACGGAGTAACTCTTTTGCCCTTCAGCTTGAAGGATCATTGGAGCAAGAGAAGAAGGTGAGGATGGATTTAGAAAGAGCCAAGAGAAAACTGGAAGGGGACCTGAAGCTAACCCAAGAAAACATAATGGATCTGGAGAATGACAAGCAGCAGCTAGAGGAAAAACTCAAAAAGTAACACTACACTTTAAAAATTACAGAAATAACCCACTGTTTGACAAAAAAAGCTGCTTACTAATTCTTAAAACAGTGTGTCATTGAATGTAGGAAGGATTTTGAAATTTGCCAGCATCTCAGTAAAATTGAGGATGAGCAGGCAATGAGTGCTCAGCTCCAGAAGAAACTGAAGGAATTACAGGTAACAGCGGGTTTTTATTTATGTCTCATTTTGTCTTTATTTTGTGAGTCCTATATTAATTTTTTTAATGAATCTGGTGAATTCAATCAAGGCCCGCATTGAGGAGCTAGAGGAAGAACTGGAGGCAGAGCGAGCTGCCCGGGCCAAGGTGGAGAAACAGAGGGCTGACTTGGCCAGGGAGCTGGAGGAGATCAGCGAAAGGCTGGAGGAGGCTGGAGGAGCCACCGCTGCTCAGATCGAGGTGAACAAGAAGAGGGAGGCCGAGTTCCAGAAGATGCGCAGGGACCTTGAGGAGGCCACTCTGCACCATGAAGCCACTGCTGCCGCACTGAGAAAGAAGAATGCCGACAGCGTGGCTGATCTGGGTGAGCAGATCGACAACTTGCAAAGAGTCAAGCAGAAGCTGGAGAAAGAGAAGAGCGAGCTCAAACTGGAGCTGGATGATGTCGTCTCCAACATGGAGCAGCTTGCCAAAGCTAAAGTAAGATGTCCAAAGCAAACAAATGGTTTTTTTTTGACAATGTTTTACAGTTTTTGCTGTCTTTTTTTGTAAAAATTTAATTTGTCTTACTAAATGTAACCCCAAAAGACCAAAATCACTCTTATATCAGTGTGATGAGCATTTCCAATTTTAATATTAGTGACTGTTAAGTTACATAAGAGTGTTTATACACTGATTGCATAAGCATAAGCAGGTCAAAACATACTGACATGTTCAGTACTTTGGTTTATGATGGCTGTTAAGATGGTGTTTAAACAGTCTCCCTCCAAAACTGACACCAGTTCCCTTAGCCTCTGTATTTTTTCTTCAGTTGTGATTATTGCGGTGACAAACTAAACTTATATAGTAAACTTTTTTCTTAACATGTTAGCATGCTTACATTGTCATTACAGGCCCATTAGCCTTCTGTGATCAGTGTGTAATTCAGCACATTGTTATGCTAAGCTTACCAGCTTACAGTTTTAATGCTAAGCTAGGCTAACTGTCTTGGGTTTAGCTCTAACTTGCTGACAATCTTACTGGTGTAAATAAGGAAAAAATAGCTTTCCTAATGTGATTCGTGGTATAATGGTACAGCTTACATTCTAATATGGAAATCCTTTCACTCAGAGCAACCTGGAGAAAATGTGTCGCACTCTGGAGGATCAAGTGAGCGAATACAGGACAAAATCAGAGGAGGCCCAACGTTCCATCAATGACTTCACAATGCAAAAAGCAAAGTTTCAAACTGAAAATGGTAACGTGATCCTAAAGAGGTCCAAGTTGCTAGAGCACCATTACATTCGGAACAATGGGGATAGGAGCGAGAAAAACAACTAAAATAAACCCTTATTTTGCAGGTGAGCTCACCAGGCAGCTGGAGGAGAAGAACTCTTTTGTGTCCCAGCTGACCAGAGCGAAGCTCTCATATACCCAGCAGATTGAAGACCTCAAGAGGCAGCTGGAGGAGGAAGTCAAGGTATTCAAGAACTGCTTCTTTTTAAATACAAAACTAAATATCTATTGGCAAAATGACTTGACTTACTGCTGCTTTATCCTAGGCCAAGAATGCACTTGCCCATGCAGTGCAGTCTGCTCGCCATGACTGTGATTTGCTGAGGGAGCAATTTGAGGAAGAGCAGGAAGCCAAAGCTGAGCTCCAACGCAGCATGTCCAAGGCCAACTCTGAGGTGGCTCAGTGGAGAACCAAGTATGAAACTGATGCCATCCAAAGAACAGAGGAGCTGGAAGAAGCAAAGTAAGGACTCTGCATGAATTCACTGTGATATCTTATTAGTATCTTATCCATCTTATCTGTGATGATCTGAAACTTCTGTTGCATGTTTGTTATTAGGAAAAAGCTAGCTCAACGGTTACAGGATGCTGAGGAAGCTGTGGAAGCTGCTAATGCAAAATGCTCCTCCCTGGAGAAAACCAAACACAGGCTTCAGGGTGAAATCGAGGATCTGATGGTGGATGTGGAGAGATCTAATGCTGCTGCTGCTGCTCTGGACAAGAAGCAAAGAAACTTTGACAAGGTAACATCACACGAGAAAGAAAAACTAGCATGCCACTAAAAATTGAACATATAAAATGAACTACTTTTTCTGGTATTCACTCAGGTCCTTGCTGAGTGGAAGCAGAAGTATGAGGAGTCTCAAGCTGAGCTGGAAGGTGCCCAGAAGGATGCTCGTTGTCTCAGCACTGAACTCTTCAAATTGAAGAACTCCTATGAAGAGGCTCTGGAACATCTGGAGACCATGAAACGAGAAAACAAGAATCTCCAAGGTTGGAAGATATCATTTGAACACGATTTATCCTTTCACGTGACAGTGGACAGCGTAAATGGTACCACTAAATGAATCTTTGCTCAACAGAGGAAATTTCTGACCTGACTGAGCAACTTGGTGAGGGAGGAAAAAACATCCATGAGCTGGAGAAGATCCGCAAACAGCTGGAGCAAGAGAAGGCAGAGATACACACTGCTCTGGAGGAAGCTGAGGTGATTTTTTTCTTTTAAATATGACTTTATGGATGAGCTTTATTGCTTTTCTTAAATTTTCTCACTCTGAATGCTATGAGAGAGAGACCATCATCTACTATTTCCGACAGGGTACCCTTGAGCATGAAGAGGGTAAGATCCTTCGAGCTCAGCTGGAGTTCAATCAAGTGAAAGCTGACATGGAGCGCAAGCTGACGGAGAAGGACGAGGAGATGGAGCAGGCCAAGCGAAACCATCAGAGGGTGACGGACACTCTGCAGAGCTCGCTGGAGGCTGAGATTCGCAGCAGAAACGAGGCTCTTAGACTAAAGAAGAAGATGGAAGGGGATCTAAATGAGATGGAGATCCAACTGAGCCAGGCCAACAGGCAGGCAGCAGAGGCCCAGAAGCAGCTCAAGGGAGTCCACGCTCACCTGAAGGTGATGCTTCAGTTACTTACTTGCATTTTTAAACCGAGAAACAAGATAAAGCCTGAGATACATTTTTGGAAAATGTTATCATTTTAAATTCTATCACGACAGGACTCACAGCTGCAGCTGGATGAAGCTCTCCGTGCCAATGATGACCTGAAGGAGAACATTGCCATCGTGGAGAGACGTAACAACCTGATGCAGGCTGAGCTCGATGAGCTGAGGGCTTTGGTGGAGCAGACCGAACGGGGTCGGAAGCTGGCCGAGCAGGAGCTGCTGGATGTCAGCGAACGAGTTCAGCTGCTGCACTCGCAGGTATGTCTGCAACACTGCAAACGCTATCCCGCAAGATAATATTGCGTGCTAAAGCTGCCTGATTCTCCCGGCAGAACACCAGCCTCTTGAACCAAAAGAAGAAGCTGGAGAGTGACACAGCTCAGCTTCAGAATGAGGTGGAGGAGGCTGTGCAGGAATGCAGAAATGCTGAGGAGAAGGCAAAGAAGGCCGTTACTGATGCTGCCATGATGGCGGAGGAGCTGAAGAAGGAGCAAGACACCAGTGCCCACCTGGAGCGTATGAAGAAAAACATGGAGCAAACCATAAAAGATCTGCAGCACCGCCTGGATGAGGCCGAGCAGATAGCTATGAAAGGTGGAAAGAAGCAGGTCCAGAAGCTGGAGTCCAGGGTAAATGTTTCAAAACTTGGAGTGCTGTAAAATAGAGGAGTTGGTGACTTTAACAGTCTTACAAAGGATAAATTCATGGCTTCTTTTCCAGGTGAGAGAGCTGGAAAATGAGTTGGAAATGGAGCAAAGGAAGAGCAGCGACTCTGTGAAGGGCATCCGGAAGTATGAGCGGCGCATCAAAGAGTTGACCTACCAGGTAAACTCCAGGCTCAGTTCCTCTGTGATGCAAAAAATAAATAAATAAAGGTTCTGGTATAATGAGCAGCACGTCCTGTGTAATGATTTAACAGACCGAGGAGGACAAGAAGAATCTGAACCGCCTGCAGGACCTGGTGGATAAACTGCAGCTGAAAGTGAAATCCTACAAGAGGGCTGCAGAGGAGGCTGTAAGCAAAATTATAGAAGCTTTATTTATGGAATATTCATGGATGAGCCTCCACTGGATTTACATACTCCTGTCTTCATTTTCAGGAGGAGCAGTCCAATGCAAACCTTAGCAAGCTGCGCAAGTTGCAGCACGAGCTGGATGAAGCAGGGGAGCGGGCCGACATAGCAGAGTCTCAGGTCAACAAGCTGAGAGCAAAGAGCCGTGACTCCGGAGCTAAGGTCAGTCATGCAAAATAGGTCCAAAATTTTATTTAAAAAGCTTTAATTCTTTTGAAAACAAACAGAAAACACTTTAAAATGTGATTATCGTTTCTGTCTTTACAGAAAGGAGAAGAGTAACCGGGTTTTCATGGATGCAGTTAAAATGTAGTGCTGTAGCTCTTATTGTCCATGTAGCCTGAGTGCAGTAAAGAATAAACGAGTTCTGAATGCACCACTATTCTCTGCTGTGTATTTGTATAATACAGTTAAAAGCATGCAAAACCTCCACCACAGTAACACAACCGTGAAACGACAACTGAGTTAGTCTTCGAGCCTCCACAAACCTTTGGATGTTTCTGAAATATAAGATAATAAGAGTGCAGACTTGTAAAAACAACACAGCTAGTCAGACACGACCAATAAAAAGAAATCGAATAAACTTCTTTTTAGTTATGCATCGGCCGTGAAGATTTGAATATCAAGTCTCTGGATGAACTTGAACTTTGAACCTCAAGTTTATTCTGCTCATAAACTAAAGCCTGTCTTTGCTCACCTGTGATCCATGACATGTTTGCAAACCAGTCCCGGAACTAAAGCACGATAACGGCCATGCTTATCTTACGACTTAATGGCATTTCTTTCTAACAGTAACAGATAACTTCCCCAGAGGGCGCTGCAGTCTCACACATGAAGCAGTGCATGAAATGAAGAGCACATAGTCACCACTGGATAGCCAAATAACATGGACTCATTTCTCCATGATACTGAAGGAGGAAAGGAAGTAAAACATTATTTTTTTCCTCTCTAAATTTTCTAAACTACAAAGTTTAGGGTGAATTTGTGAATAAACCTTAAATTCTACCTGAATCCAAGTAAAACAGAAAAAACAATGAGTGGAAATACTTCAAAAACTGACTGCTTGTCAGGAGGGTTACAATATTGATGATATAATAGGGTCAAAGTAAATGTATTAATTACATGATATACAGGTTACCTACCTTACAACATAATCTCATAAAGAAAACAATAGAAGAAAAAACAATATTATTGTAACTGAAACCGTTTCCAAAGCGGTCCTTCTCGTTTGTTAACCTCTGCTGAATAGCTGCACCTGCAGTAACAAAACATTCTCCTGTTTGATGCCAACACGGCTGCGTCCATGCTGGAGCTCCATATTAAAGAGACCAAAACATGTTTGTTTATGGTCAGGTGCAACCTAATACTGCTCTCACGTGTGATCTGCAGCTCTCATACCAAACAGCCGGCAGGCACTCTGAGTGTCGAGATGCCTACAGTGACTCAGATCTCCGTTTTTCCGTTGCAGATCCCAGACTTTCATGCGGGCCTACATTGGGGGCGTAAACTTCAAAATGGCGGTGCAGTGGTTTCTCTCTGTACCTGTGTGGGCTTCCTTGGGGTGCTCTCTTTCCACAGTCCAAAATGTGCATATTAGGTTAACCAGTGGTTCTAAGTTGGTCATAGGTGGGAAGTTAAGTGTATAGAACAATGTGCCTTTATAAATGTGTCTGAGGAGGTTAATGTTTGGCTTGTAGTCTAAAAGTCTTTGTGTGCCCTGTGAGGCTAAGGAAGTCCAATATAAATACAGCCCCCTGTACTGAACATCTAAAAAACGAAAACATTGATTGATGTAGATACTGACCCTTTACACCTTTGGTGTACAATTACACTTCCTCTGGTGCACTCCCATGTGCAACAGCCTGATTCAGCGCTTTAATACTAATTTAAACTTTATCAGTTAGACTCCTATCTGTGTCTTTATCAGAGAGTTCTAGGTCTGACTTTGCTCTGGGCGAGGCCATTGTCTGAAAAAGGCGTTTCACCTCCTTTTTACACTTTCCCCTTTTATGACATAAGATGAAAAACCACATTCAACTGCTCTGAAAAGTATGACACACAACGTGAAGCAGCCATGCCCTTCCCTGGTGATGTCATGGCTAATAACACAAAGCAGATTGTGGCATCTTAGTGAGAGTCTCTCTGGGAAAAATTTGACACGCATGGGAGAGGAAGTCTGGGATACAAGTACACTGCCAGCAAGAACTCTAATGGATGTTTTATCTAATGATCAACACACAGTGTGTTGACAACAAAAGGAAACACCCGCTTGAACAATGTGTGACTGTTGAACGGCCCCACCTAGAGCACACATTATTTTAAGAAATTAGCATCCACCAAAGCGCTGTGATTGATTTGATCACTGACATTCTCTACAGACTGGAATTCAGAACCAAATCTTTTGTCATGCTAATTATCAACATACCTTTTCACTTAAAGCATGCGAGCACTGCAGTGGACAAAACTAATGACTCAAGGACAAATCATGCCGATGATGGTTATATGATCTGACATAACAACAAAAGTGTAACCAAGGTGATGAGAAATCCCCAAAACATCAGGTCTTGTTAGAAATATTACATTTATTTATAAAATAGATATATTAAGAATTTATCACTGTGCAAATAAGAGCAGGCACCGTATAGAGCACTTTATAAGGGTGAAAACAAATGTTAATCATATCAAGATTATATTTCATCCCTAAGTACAAAAAAAATTATTTTAAACCAAAACTCTGCCTGTTTTGAAAAACAAAACAAAACAAGTGCTAAGAAAATATCAGCTTTACGATTAGAACATTTACCAAAAACTAATTTCATTTCTTAAACATAGCAGAACAGAGATGATGGAATATCATATGACAGCACATTTATCCACATTACCTCAGTACTTATTGCTACCTACCAGGATGAAATGCAAACCTAAAGACTTGTGCAAAAAGCCCAAGCTTACAGAGTAGTTTGTTCTTTGAAACAACTACAAAGATACAGCATATACCTCACTAATGCCATGCGACACTCAAACTATAAATGTCTATTTGTTATCCAGGAATTACAGGTCTGCATTCAAATACAACATATGGTACATACTTAAAACGTATTTAAACTTATGCTGATAATCCATGCTTACTTGTATTGTGTATATTTTTACCCTGACCACAACAACCACTTCCGAAAACCAAATCATGCAGGATACCTGGTGTCCCGACTGAGCTCAGGTCTCAACAGAGTGAAAAAAACAAAACAAAAAAAGAAAAGCAGGAGAGATGCAGATGTCATTACACACCAAAAGATTACAGCACCTCCTTTATCCCCTCCCTCCTGGATGTTTCAGAAACTTGCATTTTTAAAGCACTTGTTCTGCTTTTACAGTTCTGTCTCTTTTTCACCCTCATCATCTGTTTCTAAGTAGTATTCGTCATCAGTTGTTGTGTCCGAGCTGCTGTCTGATGACTCATCAAAGGTGCTAAGGCTGGATACATAACCTCTGGAGGGCAAATGCCCCCTGGACTGGCTGTCCCCTGGATGTAGTACTCCTGGCGAGCTAGGAAAGGTCGGAGAGGAAAGGCTGGGTGGTTTGGACATGCGCCTGGACACTGGTGACAGAGGAGGTGTTGGAGGAGGAGTGGGCGGGGCCTCTGCATCCCACACAAACTGGCAAATGTTCATGTTTGGACTCCGGAGGTGAGCAGGCTTGGAAGCTGTAGCATTTACATGTTGAGGAGAGTCTCCAGAGCTCCAGTTTGCCAAGCACCTGGTCAGCGATCGAGGCAAAGATCTTGATCGCATTTTACCAGGATCACTTGGGAAATATGATTTTCGACCATCCTCAGAAGCCTGGAAGTCATACACTGTGCTCCAATCAGATTTGACAGACCACGGATCCAAATCTCCACTATTACCTCCACAAGAGAAGGCAGACTGAGAGAGGTCACCCACACTCATGAATCTGGATCCTGTGGAAATACGTCCTGGTCCAGAGGGTCGACTGGAGAGAACAGAACTCACAGAAAAGGACTTCCCAGGCTCAATGCCATACTTTAAGTCTGCATAAGAGGATGCCAAGTTTTCCTTGTCATGTCCTGGGCTCACACATGGAGGACCTACGGATGCCCGGCTTTTTCTCGGAACTCCCAAGCTGATCCCTTCTCCTTGCTCGCACGGAGAGGAGGATTCCCTGCGGCGGTGCAGCTTTGGGCTGTAGAAGACGCTGTCGTCTGTTACATCAGACGAGGAAAATGGGGACATTGGTGAAAGAGAGGAGAAGGGAGAGAATGGACTCCTGGGGCTAGGTGTGGATCTCCTGAATGAAGCTGGAAAAGCTGGACTTCTACTGGGACTTGGATCTCTGGAAGAGAGGCTTGTTGCTTTATAATCTACTTGGTCTTGTTCAAGGTCTAACTGGTCAACTGTTGGACCGTGGACCATCAGATAAACTGGGCCTTTCTTTTCAGAAATTTGTTCTGCACAAGCCTGTTGCATGTCACGGCCCGTTTCTAGAGATTTTTCGGTCCAGCTGGAATGCTGATTTCCAACTTTTGTGTTTCCAGCAGCCGAGGACGGTATCAGAATGTATCTATCTTGCATCCACTTGTTCGAAGCCTCTGTTTCCTGATTGTTGTTCAGCACCATTACTTTCTCTGGCACTGTTTCCTCTGGAATTTTGCTACTCTCAACACTCACATCGCTCACATCGCTCGATCCGCTAACAGAAGGTGCTTGTGAGGTTGACCATCTTGTGCTTAATTTTTGCTTTAGTTTGCTAAAGACTTGGTCTACTTTGTTGTTACTCTTGACCTTGTCTGACTCTGACCTTGTCAAACTGGAGTTTGGTGTACTGACGCTCTTCTTCAGTGCAAATCGGCTTCTCTTTGTGTTTTGTTCATTATTAACGTCTACTGAGAAAAACCTGCTTTTCCCCATTATAGTCTCCTTCATGCTTTTGCTGGAGTCTTCTGTCTCCCGGGACTGACTCTCTGTTGAGCTGCTGCTGTTGGAGCTCTGACCTGAATGACGACATGGTTCACCTGCTGCTCCTTTAGTCTGCCCTGTCAGGGACTGTTGACTAAATTTGGTCTCCATGGAAACCGGTGTGTTATTGATATGCTGTAAAGCATTAGGTGTGGTGTTTTTTGGGGCTGTCGATGCATCTACTGTGGATTTAAGGCTGTAAACCAGTGT